TTGGTTTTGTCCTGCGGCCTGCGCTCCGGCCACTCCAGGGAGGGGTGTGCAGGCAGCCGGGGCACTGGCTCCCTTTTGGTCTTCTTTGGTATCTTTTTCATAGTGGAAAAAATACATTGACTTTGACTCTGCGCTGATGGCTTTGCCAGAGCAGGTCCATGTTTCCCAACACTGGTGGTGAGGACAGCCTTGTTATCACTGCCATCACCTCCCACCTTCATGTTCCACCTTGGGAGCAGCTGAAGTTCTGCAGCAGTGTCTCTTCAGGAGAACAAAACAATAGTTAATTTTGTGGAAGCAGGATTCAAGAGCTGTACACAGCGTGTATGTGACAGATCGGATCATTCCCTGACAGCACTCCTGCATTAGCAAAAGGGGCTTCACGGGGAGGTGTGCCAGACAGTGGGATGATTCCTCCATGCACTGGGGCTGTAGCACAGCTGTCTGCAACAACTGTAGGCAGCATGTCCATCATATTTGCATGGTTTGTTCCACTCCATGCTGTAGGTTGAGTGTAGGTGCAAATAATACTTAAGGTGCCTGCTCTTTGTCCCACCTCCTGGAGTGCCCCAGTGCCATGTAGGAATCTCCTCCTGCAGCATCATCCCTCTGGGGCTCTGTAGTGCTGCCAGGAAGGGGGGGTGAGGTCCACCACCAAGGTCACCTCCTTGCACAGTGGTTAGAGGTGCAAATTGTGCTGAAACAGAGCCCCAGTCCCTTGCCAGGGACCTGGTGGATCTGTGTAGGTCACCACCAGGGTTGAGAGTGCACTCAGAAGATACTTACCGCCTGGTTACACTCAGAAGCAGACTGTATTTGAAGTCTGGGAAACGTACAACTTGACCATTTACACAGTAGCGATCAAAGTAAAAACACTGCATAGTGCTCCTGCTTAGCAGGTGGTAAAAAACCCTACATATACTAGTATTGCAAATGAGGTGTGAGATTTTCTTCCCCTGAATTGCAAAAATCATAAACCTTCCTACTGATTAATTCAAAAAATAATGATGCTGATTATGGCTTTACAGTGCCAAAAGGATTGGCACAATTACTAAGAGCATTTCTCTCCCAGCTTCATATTGATGGTACTTTGATGATCTTCCCCTCCCTCGCATTACTGTAGTGTAGGAGCACCTCATAATCTATTTATTTACATCCCCAATTTGCTTGTGGAAGAGAAAAATACTATTAACCCCAGCTCAATGTCAATGATTTGTTCTGGAATAATTGGAGGGCTCTCAATGACTCACCAAACCACCTGGCCACTGGATTTTTTCCACTATGTTCCTTACCATGTTCTCATGTACCTCAGAAATCACTCGGTTGCACAGTTTCTGTTCTCAAACTTCGTTTTTTGTTTTTTTTTTTTTTTCTTTTGTTCTCTTTTTTTTTTTTCCTTTATTGAGTGTGATGCCATATCAAGTCAACGTTATTCTCTCACAATGTGCTCTTTAAGAGGTGTGGATGTTTATATGGTCAGGGGATGCTAAAAAGTGCGGTAGTAGACATGATCAGTGTAAACAAAAGTATTTAGAAAGTACGTGAGGTTGTTTTCGATGGATAAGACGCTGATACAGTGTAGTCTCGATTACCTTTTAAAAGGTCTTCTTTGTTCAGTGTTGTCATTTTTATTAATAACCTGTTGTTTTGATTAGTTTGAAGATGGTTCTAAGAAAAGTGTTTTGGTGGGATTAGGTATGCAGTATGGACAATAAACTCACCTTGACCTAAGTTTGTCTGTCTTGGTTTTATTCATTCAGTGTGAAGATGGTGCAAAAGAAGATGAGATTCTAAAGCATCTGATTGAGGTAGATGGTGTTAGCAGGCATATAAATGTGAACTATTATATGTTGCAGTCACAGAAAGTTTTCCTCTAAAACATAGTGCATTGCCTACTGGATAGGCAAGTTCTGGCATGTTTCTTCTGTGAAATAACCCTATGAGATTTAAGGAGAACAAAGTCCTAAAAATGGAAAGTTGCTGGATTAAAACAGTTTGTCGAAATAAAACTGAGCTGATGGATAAGTCCTCGTAAGTACACAGAGCACATGTTTTTGCCGCTAATTGAAATACTCTTGAAATCTCCAGTCAGGTACTTGTTGCATTTAAATGCTACTGCAAAAAAATGATGCTGTTTTTCTTTCTATAAGTTTTGGGCAAACTGTGAATAAAAGGAGAGGGCTTTGTGGTGAAGCCAGCAGGAAGAACTGAGCCTCCAGGCGCAGGGTCTCCTTTCTCAGCCTGTGGCCAGGAGGCAGGATGCTCGCCCTCTCCCTCTCCTGCTTCCGTGTCTTCTGCTTGTGGATGTTTGTTGTTGTAAAGTAACCAACCTCCTGTGTGATGTGCTTGGCCTGACCACAGTGTCTCTCCTTCTCCAGTGCCATCTTCTACTGAATTTCAGGCCTTTGGGCACCCCTGGGGAGAGCAAAGAGGCAGTAAGGGATGGAGAGGTGTTTGGGCAGACACACTGGGGAAAAAGTAACGCCATCATAAAGTGAATAATACAGCCAAAACCAGAGAAGAGCAAGAAAAAAAAACAAAACCAACAACAAAACAAAAAAAAGTAATCAACAGGGAGGAGAAATACTCAAAAGGAAGATCTTCATGTTTGTTACAAACATGAAGAAACATATAAGCAAAGTCAATAGATATGAACCAACAGAAAAATCATGGATGGGATAGGAAATACAAACTAAATCATGAGGCTGTGAGTCGGGAGATCCAGTCATAATCACATAACCTCAGGACTGTGGCTTTAGGCAAAGTCTCTTAAGACTTCCCTGTGAAGTGACCTGTGAGCCTCATACTTTACAAGCTGTTTACACCAAAGGTATGGATTTTAAAGCATAAGAAGTCCACAATTTCCTCTTGCCACCGTTTAACAACATGACCTGCAAACTGCAGCATTTCATAGGCATAACTTCGAGCTTTTGAAGAATTGGAACTTGTGTGCGTTCCAGTTCATGATTTAAAGCTCAAAGGGGTACTCCTCAGCCTAATTTCAGGTTTTAGGGGATTAACTCCTTTCTCACTATAGTGTTCCCAATAGTCCCCCAGGAACTGCATGGATGTGCTCTGCAGCTTTGTGTTTTAAGAAGTTTTACTAAATCTAGATTTAGCAGAAAAGAGATTTTCTGTTGCTGTTTAAGTAAATGTATGTGGATATAGGTCGCAGAAGCTAAAACGGAAATAAATTGGACAACAGCCTGTTCCCCTCATTTAAAGAAATCTGGCTGAATACAGAGAAG